GGGTGAAAAACGATTGGGGGGAAACCCGAGCCGACTTCCTTCACGTTTGTCTCGGTGGAATCGGATGGAAACGGCAGGTTTTGGGTCGGAGCGTGGGCTGAGCGAGCAGAGTCCTGACAGGAACAGAACCTCGTGGGACAGAGTGGGAGGAAGCCAAACTGTAGTCATGTAGAAGAGACAGGGAGGAGTGGACCAGGGAGACCTATAATATGTTTACTGTGGGAAAGACTGAAGTGTTAAAGCAGGGGTACCTAACTTTGTTTTGGTGTCATATGTACCTTTTGTTTGTCCCAACAGTTTGTCTCTGGTCTTACTCTCTCTGGTCCCTGTCGCTGGGGGTTCTCTCTAAAGTATCTCTCTGGTCTCTCTCTTTGGTCTCACGCTCTGATCTCTCTCTTAGTACCTCTTTCTATTTGGTCTCTCTCTTTGGTCTCTCTGTAAGAAAGTAATCTTTATTTATATACCGCCTTTTCACTGCACATCGGAGTCTCAAAGCGGTTTACAATTGTGATTTTTGGGGTGGGGGTGCCAGTACAGGAGGCACATGCCAGACCTATTGTACATATTTTCATTGGTAGGGGAAACCGGAGCACCCGGAGGAAACCTACGCAGACACGGGGAGAACATGCAAACTCCACTCAGAAAGGCCCTGGTCCTACCAGGATTCGAACCCAGGACCTTCTTGCTGAGAGGCGAGAGTGCTATCCACTCGGCCGCCGTGGGGTTTTTCTCTCGTATTTGTCTGGTCCCCCTCTGGTCTCTCTCTTTGCTTTCTCTCTGGGGTCTCTCTCTATTCCCTATTTCTATCTGGTCTCTCTCTGGCCCCCCTGTGGTCTCTCTCTTTACTCTCTCTGGGGTCTCTCTCTATTCCTTATTTCTATCTGGTCTCTCTTTCTCTGGTATCTCTCAGGTCCCTCTCTCGTCAGTCTCTCTCTGGTCTCTAACTCTGATAATGATAGAACTCTATTATCTGCAGTACAACAGCTCTCATACTCCAAACTCATTCTTGTTCATCCTTGACCCTTGTGGGCCTCTGTAGTCTCTGCAGAGGTGTGAAACTACATTTTCTTTCCCTGTTTCTCTTTAAGCTGTCTCCTACTCACTCTCCTCCTCATCCTCCTTGCTCTCCTCCAGCTCCAGAGCCACAAACCCCAATCACATGGAGTAGAGGTAAAACTTCTATATATGCAGTGTTTACAGCCCACAACAGATGTCCACAAACCAAACTCCAGTTTTCTCTCTCCAGACCCTTATGCTCAAGTTTATTTTTAAATAGTACTTTTCTATTTCAAAATGTAAAAATAAATCAGTGGAAATGTGTTGTGTTTAATTTTATTCTAAAGACTAGTAGGTTTTGCAGATTTTTGTTTTACAGCGCGCTTCTCATAAACAACACCATATAACTGTTAGTAAAACAAGACTTCTTTTAGGTATCTTTCATATCACCTCTGGTCTCCCTCTGGTCTCTCTCTTTGGTCTCTCTTTAGTCTCTCTGGTGATTAGAAAAGTTAGAAAAGATTTTTATTTTTATAGCCTGTCTTGTTGACTGTCAGTCTACAGCCACAGTCCAGGGTTTCCGAGTGGTTCCTCTCTGATTCAGGAGGGGCTACGGACAGTAATGATCCAGGACATTTCTGCACATTTATCAACATTTCTGGACAGCGGTCATCTCGCTCCCTATGGACCAATGGCTTCTTTGTGTTTATTATTGCATTTCCTCTGTACGATCTGTTTCCATCACTGATCTCTTATTGGTGAATCCACTTGATACTGTGAGTCCTCCAAGACGCTGCTGTTGTGATTTAGGGCGATACACAAATACATTGAATCAATAACTTCTGCGCTTTGGCTGGTAGCATTCATTCATTCAATGCCAGATGTCCAAATGTTATTATAAACCATACACATCACTTGTACACGTTCTAATTTTCAATACGTGCAGCCATAATAGTCCACTTTGTCGGTTTGAGTGTGTCTGTGGGAGCCTCATCAGTGGGACGTCCACAGAACAAACACCATTCGTCTCAGAGCTGGAATGTACAGTTGGATATTACGAAACCGGGACTGAGCTAGAGCACAGGGCAGCAGTAAAAAGCAGATGTGTGTGACTCCTCCCCCTCTGTGCTGGTGGGCCACATGTGCAGCACAGGACCTCACTGTCTGTGATCAAAGCAGACTGTATATTGATGGACAATGCTAAACTGCTAGCTCATAGGAAGGTGCTCATGGTGAAGTTTGGCTCCTCTCTCTGGCCCTTATTGACTAAAATGTAACTGTTTATGTCAAACTCACCATGTTGGCCTTAAATCTGTGGTTTAGGGCTCCCTGTGATCGTGGTGTTTATATTGTGAAATTGTAAATCCACCACACTGTATAAGGATTGACCAATCAGATGCCTTCTTTTGCGGGGGAACTACAGCTTGCCTTAGCAACCGTCTTAGCAACACGTCTGCACATACAGTATATGGAAATTGGCTACAGCTAGCTAATGTTTAAATTGGCCTCTTCCGTATAAACACTGTGTTGATGTCACACTCTGGTAGTTAATGAATGCTGTATCGCTGTACAAATATCTCTAGTCTCTCACACCTGTACTTTAAATCGTTCATGTTGAGATCTGCTTCGAAAACAAAAATAGAAAATGATCTTCAGTTTATAAATGTATTTAAATAAACTGAACACACGCAGTACAGTTTGACTCTGAAGCCAGAGTCTCTGTGTGAATGATGAGGAAGACTGAATCTCCAGAGAATGGATTTTTATTCTCATTACAGAAAGTGTAAATACATGTAAAAAAAACAAGTTAAATATACAACACTAAATATATTGAATTTATCAAGTCAAAAACACTATTTAAAAATAGGAGATGATGAAAAGGACAAATTCAATTTAGTAAATTATTCTTGTGGTCAAAAACCCAAAATTAACAAAAAATATGAGTCACAGTGTCACTTAAATACAAAACATTTCAAAAGAGTTCAAAGACATCCTTCATTGGACCAGAGAACAAGGAAAATCATATGAATGTAGTCGTTCTCTCATGTTTCTAAATCAACTTAAGATCATTAATATTCCCAAATACAAAGGAAAGGCCTGGGTTCCAAGATCGGGTACTCCAAATTAATCAGCCACTTTACTATAAATACAGTATCTTCTTCCTCACCTCGACCCTCCCCACTGTGTTGGAATTGTGTAGAACTTAGCAGTAAGTTTGCCGTTACAAACATAAAAATAAATAAACCATGAATGTTGTTTTGCACATGAACATAGAAGCATGCTAACCTGCTAACGTTAGCGACAGAGGTAGAGAGGTCAGCGTCGGAACATTTCTGGTCCCTCTCTGGCCTCACGCTCTCTGTCAGGTCTCTCGATCTGGTCTCTCTTTTTGGCCTCTCTCTGGTCCCCATCTATTTTTCTTTATTGCTCATGACCATGACCATATATGGTATGGAGCTAAGTTACGAAACAAAACAAAAACAGAAAAGCATTATAGTCTTTCTGGTCACTCTCATCCTCTGATCTCTCTGGCCTCTCTCTAAGGCAGGGGTCTCCAACCTGTGACTACCAGTAGCTCACCACCCCTTTTCAGGTAGCTTCTCAAAAAGTTTCCAGAACACATGATCCTGAATAATTCACTTTTGAGTCATTACATAACAACTTGACCCATTATTACACATCTTTTAAAACTTTTTTTTTTTTTTATCAGGGTTGCTATATTTATTATATAGACTACAATTGTATTACAACTGCTAAAGGAGAAGCTCTTTGACATTTATTTTTCCCAAAAGTAACTCTCCAATCTAAAAAGTTTGGAGACCCCAAAGTGTGTGTGTGAGGGGATTTATGGCCTGAAAACATAGAGCTGCTATTTAACTTATTCTGGTTTATTTTTAGAACACATCACCCCTGCGATAAACCAGGGACCAGTGTACTGCCCATTGGTTAAACAATGTGAGTTCCAATGTGTGGCTTGATTCCGCCAAGCTCCACAGACTGCATGTTTAGTCTTTGATTTGTGTAAATACAATAATATAAAATTAAAATCCCAGTGATTGCTTTTGCCTGCGTCTCTATTTGCAGAGACACAGCCGCTCCTTCGTCAGCACAAAATCTGCGATCTCAGCAGCGACGCCAACAACAACGTTTACAAGTGTCCAGCTCCTTCTGAACCAAACACAGAATGAACATTTAGGGTAACTGAGGTGAGACCAGACCCAGAGGATGAGAGAGACCATCTGAGGTGAGACCAGACCCAGAGGATGAGAGAGCCCATCTGAGGTGAGACCAGACCCAGAGGACGAGAGAGACCATCTGAGGTGAGACCAGACCCAGAGAACGAGTGAGTCCATCTGAGGTGAGACCAGACCCAGAGGACAAGAGAGACCATCTGAGGTGAACCCAGACCCAGAGGACGAGAGAGACCATCTGAGGTGAGACCAGACCCAGAGGACAAGAGAGACCATCTGAGGTGAACCCAGACCCAGAGGACGAGAGAGACCATCTGAGGTGAGACCAGACCCAGAGGACGAGAGAGACCGTCTGAGGTGAGACCAGACCCAGAGGACAAGAGAGACCATCTGAGGTGAGACCAGACCCAGTGGACGAGTGAGACCAGAACCAGGGGATGAGTGAGTCCATCTGAATTGAGACCAGACCCAGAGCAGAAGCTAAAAAAGGGGTCCACATCAGTTTTCATAATGTTGTAAAATGGTTCAAACAAGAATATTTTTCACATCAGCCAAGGAACTACCTCTGATACGGTACCAGATACTGAAGTGTAACACAACCAGGTAGAGTAGAGTAGAGTCTCTCTCTGGTCTCTCACTCTAAATGTAATTGGCAGAGGCAAGTAGGTTTTCTGCCCCATTCCAAACACGCAGTCCGCTGGTCCGTTCTTGCCGTTTGGTTCCGGAAGCGGGACTTCTGTACGCTTCGGTAACTGAGATGGTGTGTTTTCCCAGGGAGCACCTGTGTGAGAGAGGTCAGGCTTGATCTGTTCCTTAGTCCCTGCTTGCCGGTTCCTGGTTTCTGGTCTGCAGCAGTGCACTCAGCTCCATCTGGTTTTCCAAACACTCCTTCAGCTTGTCCTCCGTCAGAGTCAGACGCTGCTCCAGGATCGAAACAGTCTGAAAGAAACCAAAGAGATTAACATTAGAGTTAAAGCTGAGGTACTGGACTTACAAACCAAAATAAATCCCTGTTTACTCTACTCTGCTCTGCTCTGCCAAGTTGGTACTAAAGTGTTCTAAATGACAGATATGGTGCCAGATACTAAAGCGTAATGGAAATGCAACCAAGCAGAGTAGAGTAGAGTAGAGTAGAGTAGAGTAGAGTAGAGTAGAGTAGAGTAGAGTAGAGTAGAGTAGAGTAGAGTAGAGTAGAGTAGAGTAGAGTAGAGTAGAGTAGAGTAGAGCAGAGCAGAGCAGAGCAGAGCAGAGCAGAGCAGAGCAGAGCAGAGCAGAGCAGAGCAGAGTAGAGTAGAGTAGAGTAGAGTAGAGTAGAGTAGAGTAGAGTAGAGTAGAGTAGAGCAGAGCAGAGCAGAGCAGAGCAGAGCAGAGTAGAGTAGAGTAGAGTAGAGTAGAGTAGAGAAGAGTAGAGCAGAAACATCTGGATGAAACCAGTCTTTGTTCAATTCAATTCAGAGCTTTTTGAGCTGATACAGCGAGGAGTTTGAAGCCAGGATCCTGTTCAGCAGCTGATCTGGAGATAAAACTGGAGAAAATTGTAAAGTCTTTGTTTGTGCGGGAGAGAACCAGACCCGAGGAGCAGCTCTGGCCAGCCTCAGCCTGACAGTAATGACCAGTAGAGCGCTGGGAGACCTGTGACTGTGGTACTGGTCAATGTAACTGACTATCTGGAATTATATCTGACCATTTTGGACAAATAAAGATACAGTGAGTTCAGTTAAGGAGAACAATGTAAAAATATGTGGTTGCATGTGTGTTGAGTTGGCACCCTAGAGACTGTATACAGATGGACAATGCTAACATGCTAGCTCAATGAAGCCCAATAGGGAAGTCCTAATAGACTCCCCTAGCTCAGTAACTGTTTGCGTCACACTCCCCATTTTGAGATTAAATCTGTGGTTTAGTGCTCCCTGCGATCCTGGTGTTTGTAAATCCAGAAATAAACTACATAAGGATTGGCCAAGCAGATGAGACCAGAAAGAGTGATGAGAGAGAGAAAGACCAGCGAGATAGACTAGACATAAACACCACCCAGCGGCTACTCCACCTCTGCTGCTGTGACCCGTCCTGCTCCACCCAGAGGTTACTCAACATGTACTGCTGTGACCTGAAGGGCTGTTGCTGATTATTAGTATTGTTAGCTTTTTAGAAAGATCAATTTTATTTTTTATTTTTGGTGCTACGGGACACTTGAATTTCACCTAAGGGATCAAGTGTCTATCTATCTATCTATCTAAACTCTAGAGACAACACCGATCAGAGCGACCAGAGAGAGACCAAACTGATAAAACACCATCAATGGAGTGAAAAGATTCAGAGATGGATCCATTTTGACGATCCGTGGGATAATCAAAGCCCCGCCTCCTTTAGACTGAACACTCAAAGCACAAAGAGCTGCTGCTGTGAGTGGGCAGTGTGCGACATCACAACAGACTTTGAGCTCAGGAGTTTGTGTGTGTGAGTTTGTGATGTACGATTGAGGAGAAGCGTGCAGTCTGACAGAGAGGAGGGGGTAGAGAGAGAAGAGAGAAGAGGAAAGAGGGAGAGGAGGAGGAAGAGGAGAGAGGAGAGCAAGGCATCGTGGAGATCTGCGTTCTGTGACTCCAGGGAGATGAGAAAAGTTGCGCATTGTCCCTGGAAGTCCTGACACCTGTTCTCCAGTACATAAGATGAGTCTCAGTGGGAGGAGTTAGGGTAACTCTGGAATACTCAGGATTATGTAATAAAAATCCGCTTTAGTAAAAGATCAAAATATAAATCTTGTGTAATAGGATTCATGCTAAAATATGAGACAAAGTACAGTAAACAGCTCCAGAAAGCAAAGACAACTCAGCGAGATGTAGAAAAAGGCTTGGACAGAGACTTGGACACCTCTAGTTAAGGTGGACTCCTCTAGTTAAGGTGGACTCCTCTAGTTAAGGTGGACTCCTCTAGTTAAGGTGGACTCCTCTAGTTAAGGTGGACTCCTCTAGTTAAGGTGGACTCCTCTAGTTAAGGTTAACTCCTCTAGTTAAGGTGGACTCCTCTAGTTAAGGTGGACTCCTCTAGTTAAGGTGAACTCCTCTAGTTAAGGTGGACTCCTCTAGTTAAGGTGGACTCCTCTCCTCTACAGAAAAACTATATTCTGCTCCCAGAGTCAATGCTTTATACTTATTTTATTTGTAAATTAGTACATTCCTCTTAGTATATTCTGATTTTCTGCTTCTGTTTCCTGGGCTGTCCCCTGGAGACAGTGTGGAGGCAGGAGGGTTATATAATGGCTTTGATTAGTTTTGCCCCATCTTCTTTTCCAAGTTCCAACCTTCTCAAGCCACTTGTTGGGTAACGTCTGACAGGTCAAAGTCCACAGCCAATAACACACCTCTCATTTTTACCAGACGAGAACAGACTGACACATTTTACAATCACTCAGTCTCTTGCATAATTTCTAATCACACAAATGAACAAAGACTCTGAGTCTCCAGACAAATGCTGCGTGCTCCGCTGAGCTTACGATGGTGTGGGCGCTTGTTCGTGGGTCATCAGGTTGAAAATCATCATCTCCTGCTGCTCAATCCACAATTGGAACAAAACAAGCTTCACTTTCCCGCTCTCTGTCGCCGTCTACAGTTTCTGAATCAATATGTCCAAATGTGATGCTGCTATAACAGGAGCAACTCTATACAGGTCTATGCTTTATGTGGAGGAGGAGTAACTGTATCTTTGTGCCCCTAAAAATAGAGGGTCTCCTTTTGAAGACAATATGGCCGACATGCCTCCGCTGGATGAGGCTCTGACGGGGGGACAAAAGGAGACAGAGGGAGACAAGAGAAGACAAAAAGAGATGAAATGAGACACAAGGAGACAAGAGGAGACAGAAGGAGAGGCCCTCAGACATTATCTGTGGTTTCTGCAGGTAAAACATTTAAAAAAAACTAGTTTGATTTGGGCCATTGTCAGCCCTTTAAGCAAAAGATTTGGACAATGATTTTGTATACAGACGGTTGGAACAAAGAACTAAGTGAGACAAGAGAGACCAGAGAGAGAGAGAGAGAAAGAGAGAGACTAGAGAGATACCAGCAAGAGAGACACCTGATAGAAAGACCAGAGATACCAGCGAGAGAGAGAACAGAGAACTGAGAGAGCAAGACTGGAGTGAGACACCAGAGATAGAGCTACCAGACGAGCTACCAAAGCGAGAAAGAGATACCAGTGAGGGAGACAAAAGAATCAGAATCAGAATCAGAATCATTTTTATTGCCACGTGAGTAACAAAGTTATCACTTGGAAATTGTCTTGGCAGAGAGCGTGCCACTTCGCCATTTGCGGCGCTGTGTGCAGCAAGAAACAGCAGAGAGCAATAACATACAGTTCACAGACAATTGGATAGACACATTGTGCTTTTTATAAACCACGGATTTTTTTCTCGGGATGAGCACCTCTGACGGCCGGCCCAATGTAGCTGTCAGAGGGGGGCGGGATCAGGGAGGGGGTGAGTAGGAAAACAATGAGGAATGGAGGGGAGGGAGGGAGCAAGATGGATAGGTAGAGGAAGGCGGGGGTGAGGGATCCTTGCTGGAGACTGAAATAGTGTGAGTTGTTGTAGATTGTGGGACCTTGTTTATGGCCTTGGGCGAGGAATGTGAGATAAGAGTGGAGAGAAGACACAGCAGGAGAAAAACAATATAATATGCAATGTAGCATCAAAACAGGCTATTAATTCCAATTAAACCGAATTACGGCGCCCTCAGACTCCGTACACAGGGGCAAATCCAAGCCGGGTCAGAGAGTTCAAGCCTGACAAACAATGTCATTCAATCTCAATTCCAGAGTTTTATGCCCATCGAGTGAACGAGCTGCGAGATCTTTAAAAACTGTTCCACCAACACCACTCTCCGTTGTCCAGACACGGCACTCTCAACCACGACGCGGCTTAGCTCCTTGTACATCCCATCAATTTTGTCGGCCAGCAGGTCGTGAATCTTGCGAACTGCCATGCCTCCGAATTTGTGGTAGAAGAGGATCGCTCCAAACCCAAACAGGAGGATTCCCACCACCAAAAGAAAGAGACCAGAGAGAACAGAGAGAGATCAGCCAGGGGAAGAGAGACAAAACCACAATGGACGCAAGTTTCTCATCCACATTGAGAAATTTCAACATTTTCAAACACATTTTTCACAAGGACAACTTTATAAAGGAAAGAGCAGCACGTCCAACAGCTCAAACTCAAAGGGTGAGAGCTTCACTAACTCAAACACAGCTCCACGGCTCGTAACGCTGTCATTATGCAGAGTATCATCCCTGGTGTTAAGAGCTCACAAACACACACCCTTTCATTCACCCTGAACACACATACAGACAAAGACACGGCAGTGTCTTGTGTTTTTAAAGTTAGGGGAAACTGGAGTACCTGGAGGAAACCTAAGCAGACATGGGGAGAACATGCAAACTCTACTCAGAAATACCCTGTTCTGACCGGGATTCGAACACAGAACCTTCTTGCTGAGAAGCTAGAGTGCTATCCACTCAGCCACCCTGCTGTGTCTTTGTGTGTCTCTATGTGTGTGTGTGTGTCCCTCTGTGTCTGTATCTTTACAAACCTCTGCTCCTGACCAGACAGATTCACTTCTGTGCTCACTCTCAGTTTGCATGTGGCGTTATGTCCAGTTCAGAGATCTAATTTCAGATAAGTAAATAGTCCAGCAAATCTAATCTCGTCCAATTTTCAAGTTTAAAGATGTGGAACACAGAAAGACCAAAGTAGTGCAAGATTGGAAGTGAAATGGACAAACGCAGCACAGACCCATCTCCATTCTCTATTCAATAATGCATAGGCTTTCCTCAGTCTGAAGTATTACAGTTACAAAGAGCTGGGATCGGGAAAAATAACACCCAAAAAAGACTCGAGAGATGGACGAGAGAGTGGAAGGATGCTGTGCTCGTCAGAACTACAGAGGACGAGGTAATAAGAGATACTGGTTTGAACTAAGCAGAAATGTGACACCGCTGATAATTCTGGTGATCTGCAAAACTAGAAAAGGCTAGCAGGCCAATTTTCCAAAACTCCCTCTCGGGTCTCTCGCTCTGGTCTCCTTCTCTGGTCTCCTTCTCTGGTCTCCTTCTCTGGTCTCCTTCTCTGGTCTCCTTCTCTGGTCTCCTTCTCTGGTCTCCTTCTCTGGTCTCCTTCTCTGGTCTCCCTCTCTGGTCTCCCTCTCTGGTCTCCCTCTCTGGTCTCCCTCTCTGGTCTCCCTCTCTGGTCTCCCTCTCTGGTCTCCCTCTCTGGTCTCCCTCTCTGGTCTCCCTCTCTGGTCTCCCTCTCTGGTCTCCCTCTCTGGTCTCCCTCTCTGGTCTCCCTCTCTGGTCTCCCTCTCTGGTCTCCCTCTCTGGTCTCCCTCTCTGGTCTCCCTCTCTGGTCTCCCTCTCTGGGCTCCCTCTCTGGGCTCCCTCTCTGGGCTCCCTCTCTGGGCTCCCTCTCTGGGCTCCCTCTCTGGGCTCCCTCTCTGGGCTCCCTCTCTGGGCTCCCTCTCTGGGCTCCCTCTCTGGGCTCCCTCTCTGGGCTCCCTCTCTGGGCTCCCTCTCTGGGCTCCCTCTCTGGGCTCCCTCTCTGGGCTCCCTCTCTGGGCTCCCTCTCTGGGCTCCCTCTCTGGGCTCCCTCTCTGGGCTCCCTCTCTGGGCTCCCTCTCTGGGCTCCCTCTCTGGGCTCCCTCTCTGGGCTCCCTCTCTGGGCTCCCTCTCTGGTCTTTCTTTCTGGTCTCTCTCACAACACTAACTTCTAAAAACATGAGGCTTAACAGGTAGCTGCAAATCCTTTCCCAGTCCAACAATCAAATATATCTCAAACATGCGCGAATGGGGCACTTAAAAGCAGATCATAAATTGGATTAGCTGCTTCCGGGTGCTCTCTGCTCCTCCTGGTCTCTCTCTCTCTGGTCTCAGATCATAAATTGGTTTAGCTGGTTCCTGGTGCTCTCGGCTTCTCTTGGATCATCTATTTTTAGCGGCCTGGTTCTGGTTTGGCCTGGACTCCAGCAGAGAGTGGCCTTCACCGTTCAGAGCACTCACACAGCGGGAAACTCGGCTTTTCTCTGCGGACACAACAGCTCCCTGACCCCCAACACACTCACCCATTATGTACACAGAGTAGCAGGAAATAAGGAGACTGACAGAAAAATACAAGGTAATTCATGCTTGAATTAAAGCTGGGGTACCTAAAGTTGTCAGACCACAACATACTATCTTCATCTTACTATAAAATATGTGATCTTTTGTGTAAGAAAGAGCCCTCGGAGTTACTATTTTACGCTTTGGGCTGAGAGCTGATTGGCTGTGAGAGGGTGTTCTTCTCCTTTTTACCTTTCCGTCTAAAAAAGAAAAATGAGCAAAAGACAAGAGGACAACTTGTGACAGGAACGAATTTTACCTCCACTTACGAGTACAGTGGTCTCCTGCTATATCTCAGTTCACCTTTTAATGATTTGTTGTTTCTTGAATTTGACAAATACCTTTATTTAAAGTGTCTCTGGTCTTGCTCTGGTCTCTCTCTCTCTCTTGCTGGTCTCTCTCTGTCTCTCTCTGGTATAAATGTCTCTCTTGTCTGATTTCATTTTATATTTAAACTACAAAATCAGTGTTAGTTATATTGCACCATTATATAAAATCTGTAAAAAACCATGGGACTTTGATTTACACCATAAACTAGCAGGAGGTAATCTCCCCTATATATGGGCAGTGATTTCACAGTGATAGCTCTGTGTCGTAACAGGAGCAGACGTGTTGCTAAGATGGTTGCTAAGGTAATCTGGAGTTTCACCAGAATCACAGAGAGCATTAAACCACATAGTCCAAAATGTTGAGTGTGAAGTCAAGAACCAGAGTGAGTTGGAATCAAACCACCACAACACACCCCACTGGGCTTCAATGAGCTAGCGGGTTAGCATTGTCCATCTGTATACAGTCTATGGTCTGAATCAACGTTACATAAAATCCTTCTTTGTTCTATTTTATGCCACAGGAGCAGCAAAGTGCGTGTGCAGGTGGATGTTTGTATGTTGCCAGCAGATCACAGTGGGACCTGCTGCTGCGCGAGTTGAACCTCTGGCCCGGAGGCTGCGACGGAGAGAGCAGGTTTTGTTCTGTTCTGTGTGAGTGGGCGACTGACTGTGGCTCTGTGCAAACCATGAACCATCAGTACACAATATGTGCTGGTTTTACCTGTCAGAGGAAATCCAGCTGACCCATGATGTTGTCTCTCTCTGGTGTTTGGTCTCTGATCTCCCACTCTGGTCTCCCCACTCTGGTCTCCCCACTCTGGTCTCCCCACTCTGGTCTCCCCACTTTGGTCTCTCACTCTGGTCTCTCACTCTGGTCTCTCACTCTGGTCTCTCACTCTGGTCTCTCACTCTGGTCTCTCACTCTGGTCTCTCACTCTGGTCTCTCACTCTGGTCTCTCACTCTGGTCTCTCACTCTGGTCTCTCACTCTGTCATGAACCATCTGTAGACTCCATGCCGGTAGTACCTGTGTGAGGATGTCCAGCTGACCGATGATGTGCCCCAGGGTGCTGCTGAGCGCCCCCTCTGAGGCAGGCTCCAGTGGCTGCGAGGGCGGGGGAGGAGTGGAGGAGCCGAGGCACACTTTTCTCTGGGTTTGGGACTGTCCCGGTCGCTGTATGGTCCCGTTACGACTGTGAGAGCGCGGAACGCTGTGGCCGTCTGCTCGGGTCACAGCTGCTGCTTCTGAAGGCTGCAAAGAGGATAATAATCAGAGGTTAAAGCTGGGGTACCTAAGTTTCAAACCTTAGAAAAAGAGTGGTCCCTTGATATAATGCTGCTCACCATTCTCAGCCTTACTTTTTTGTGGATTTTGTGTGTGTGACTCTGGTCACTCACTGGTTTCTCTATCTGGTCTTTTTGTTGTCTCTCTCAGGTCTCCCTCTCTCAGGTCTCCCTCTCTCGCCACGGTTCACTCTCTCTATTGTCTCTTTCTAGTCTCCCTCTCTCTTTGTGCACTCTCTCTGGTCGGTCTCTGTTTTCTGTTTTCTTTCTGGTCTCTCTCTCTCTGGTCTCAGTTTGCTTCTATCACTAGTTTTCGAATCATTAGATCAGCTTTTCAGACAAAAAATCAAAAAGACAGGACCCTCATTTACTCCGCCGTTCAGCTCTCTGCCCAAAAAGTCAAATAGTGGCTCACAGGGTTCTTTACTTCTTTCTTACACAAATGTTGGGTATCTATGCTTTAATTTGAAAAAGCACTCTGTGAATAAGTGTTACTATCGTCTGTTGGAGAGAAAAACTTGTCTAAAGACGATACAATTAGGCAGTAACCTCTAGTTCTTCCATGATCCAATTTGGGAACTACTCCAGACAGAAACGCTGAGATCTCTAAACAAACTCTAATTATCTTTTCGTCTTTTCGCTTTACCTCTGGCAGCCGCACTCTCTCTCTCTCTCTCTGTTACATGAAACTGTAATAAGGAGAGAAAAGACCACCAGCTCTGCTGGTGCACCTCTCCATGGCCTTGCACCAAAGTACATCTGTGACAAGTGTCATATACACTCTGAGGCTGGTGCCCGGAGTCAGGAGTAAACAAGGGGAGGCAGCATGTCAGATTCATGCAGCTTAAAACAGTCTTCCTGGAAAGGTGAGACAGGCTTTCTACTCTGACAATGTTCAAAGCCCTGTGATAATCTATGATTTTATTGTTACCATATTTTTCAGATTTTAAGTCGCTTCGGAGTATAAATCGCACCAGCCAAAAGTGCATAATAAAGAAAGAAAGTCGCACTAGAGTATAGGTCGCATTTCTTGGGGAACTTTATTTTAATAAAATCAAACGCCTATAATAGACATTTCATCTTAAAAGGCAATTATTTAAAAAAACAAAAAATAGAAAACAACAGGCTGAAAAAGTGTACGTTATATAGGTTTGTAAACGTAACATATTACCGTACCCGAGTCATTCAAATACCATCAGCATATAGAACATGTTACAAGTTTACCAAAGAATCAGTGTCACTCCTAATCACTAAATTCAATTACATCTTCTTCCTCGGTATCACTTCTGAACAACTCCGACAACTCCAAAGGTCGATAAAATATTTCACACATAAGTCGGTCCAGAGTATAAGTTGCAACCCCAGCCAAACTATGACAAAAACTTTTAATCAAAAAAATATGGTAAGTTAAAAACCTGAGTTGCCATGTGTATGAACTGTACTATACAAATAAACTTGCCCTGCCTTTTACAGCATTAGGCCCAAACTGTGAGGGATCCCAGCTAATGTAATCACAGCTCTTCCTCTCTCTGACCGTCTGAGCGGAGCGAGACAGCAGACGATGGCTCATATCTGCCCCATTTAGCAGCAGAACACTTTGGCTTGATTCTCTGTGCAGTTGTTTTCCGCAGACCTGAGATCAGACAGGTCGAGCACGTGGAAAGTGTGTTTGAGTCAGAGTCAGGGACCTGGTCACAGTCTGCAGTAAGGTTACAGGCACAGAGACGTATTATTAGACATTTATTCTCTCTGTGAAAATCAGAGGACAAATTATGAACAAGTCTCAACTGGAGCCCAACGTAAACTTGATTCTGGCGGGTTAAAAGCAATGATTTGTAAACTCAAAAACCAACTCATACCATAAATGGAAAGACAACGTTAGCTCAATGAAGCCCAACAGGGAAATGCTCATGGTGAAGTTTGGCTCCAACTCTCTCAGGTTCCTATTGACTTACATGTAAAAGTCAATTCCTCTAGCTCAGTAAGCTTGTGTCTCACATTTTTGGCTTAAATCCGTGGTTTAACATTTTCTGTGATCTTGGTGTATTGTGATATTGTATTTGTAGATCCAGATATGAGTCATATAATAATTAATATACAGACAAAGGCTGGAGTATGGGGTAAGGGGACTGTCAATAAAGACGTGCATGTCTAAAAAAAATGCGTGCATATTTATTGGTATTTGTGCATACAAATATTGTATTAATTCATGATTAAGATAATACAAACTAAAAAGACATGGAATTTTGTAATTAAGAATAAAAAAATATAAAACTGTACGTGTGATTTTGTTTTTGTGAATGCGATTTTTTTTTTATTGTGCTTGCATTTTCTTTTTGAGAATACGAATTTACGTCACTGCTCAGACATTAACAATCGAGCCTGCGCAGAGTTGTTCAACTTCATTGCCCCAAAACTAAACATGGCAGAGGGACACAACATAAATAACGTGGCTCAAACTCAAGGATATAACTATATTTTATCATTTTGGTCGTAAATGAATGTGTAAGAAATATTAATTCCATAAATGTGTTCATAAGAAGATGTTTCTTGTCCCTCTAAAGGTTTTTTGGCAGTGTTGTTAGCTCCAATGCTAGTTTTATTTTCTTATCCTTATATTGTTTTATTCTCCAGAAAATAATGCATTTATTTTAGTCTAAACAACAGACTAACTAGTGTTACTGAACTAGTGAGTTAAAGTAATGTGTCAAATGTACAAATATAAGATTGAGGTCCACAGGGACAGGGTCTGCTACGTCTAACAACCAAGGATGAGTACAGCACGGAGGTGTTCTTCATATTACTCAGGGGCAGTAACAGTACGAACTAGGGTTGGGGCTGGTATCAACACATTAACCACATTGATTAGGGGCCAAGGCCTCATCAAATGTAAATGCTAAGAATGTAAAAATGTTGGTTTTAAAATAACATGGTAAGCTGTAAAACTAGCATTGAAGCTATCCATCCATCCATCCATCTTCTACCCTTTAATCCATTTCTGGGTCAGGGGGGTGGCAATCAGAGATGCCACCCAAGTCTCATAGCACCAGCCCCTCACTGACCCTCTGCAGGTGGTGAGTCCACAGGAGGACGGCTGCTCTGAGTGTGAGCATAGCCTTGATCTTTCAGTGGGGGCTTTTGGGCAAAGTGAGGTTAAGTGTCTTGCCCAAGGACACAACGACAGCAGTCATCAGTGGGAGTCGATGGAGAAGGTGCAGAGGTGGGAATTGAACCCACGACCTTCTGGCCTTAAGGCCAATGCTCTAATTGGCATAAGCATTGAAGCTAGTGTTAACTAAACACTGCCTAAAAAAACTTTTCTAGAGCGGGACAAGAAACATCTTATGAACACATTTTATGGAATTAATATTTTTTACACATTTATTTACGACCAAAATGATCAAATATAGTTATTTACCTTATTTTGAGCCAAATTGTTAATGTTGTTGCCCTCTGCCATGATCAACTCTGCGCAGAAAAACAAAAACACACATACAGTTTTATATTATTTTATTCTTAATTACGAAATTCCATGTCTTTTTAGTTTGTATTATCTTAATCATGAATTAATAAAATATTTTTATGCACAAATACCAATAAATAGGCACGCATTTTTTTTAGACATGCACGTCTTTATTGACAGTAACCTTACCCCATACTGGAGTGGACTGACAAGAGTGTGACATCACCATAGTGTTAATGTTAATGCTTAAGAGGCTAATTTGAACAAAAGCTAGCTGGAGCCAATTTCCTTAAATGGGCAGTTATGTTTTATTCACGCCACGCCGTAACAGGGTTTCTAAGGCAAGCTGGAGTTTCCCCCGCGAATGAAGATTGGCTAATCTTTATGGCTCACATCATTTAATTATCACAGATTTTTTAGGCTCAAGTCAATAGGAGGCAGAACGAATTTTAGCAAAACTTTGTCTATGAGCACTTTCCTATTGGAAGCAGGTTAGCATTGTCCATCTGTATACAGGCTATAGCTACAGCAGGAAGCCAAAGCCACACAAAAATGCCCATAAGAAAAATTACCCCAGCTAGCTTATGTTCAATGACTTCTTCATTAAAACTAACACTATGGTGATGTCACATTCAGTCAATCCATCCCGTGTCTTCGCTCTCTCTGGTCTTTACAAATTTTTTCAGTCGACTTAGTTCTCCCTCGTTTGTTCCAGTCCACGTGTTCTACCTGTCATCGTGCTGATGCATCACCTGGAGTGGAAAAACCAACAGTGGAAACTCTCGACTCAAATTAAACTTCTGTCCAGACTCCGAGATCTGTCAATACGACTGCAGACCCATTTCTCACACCTACCACACAGCAACAGCTGGCCCACACACTAAGATCCTGCTGCTACTACAGGGGCTGGAGGCAACTTGGAGGATTACAATGTTTAATGCTTCCACTTTGAGTACAGTAGGATGTTGTGCTATATCAATAACCTTGTCGTACCTTAAAGATGACACTAAGAACAGCGCTAACTCCATTCTCCCTCACCCTACACAAATCCGGTAATAGTAAAGTACAAAGTACAAAAAATGTATTGATTTGAATATATGTAGTCCTAATTAGTTGTGGGTTCGATCCCCCACAACTCTCTTCCTCTGTCTTGCCGCTCTCTGGTCTCGCTCTCTGGTCTCGCTCTCTGGTCTCGCTCTCTGGTCTCGCTCTCTGGTCTCGCTCTCTGGTCTCGCTCTCTGGTCTCGCTCTCTGGTCTCGCTCTCTGGTCTCGCTCTCTGGTCTCGCTCTCTGGTCTCGCTCTCTGGTCTCGCTCTCTGGTCTCGCTCTCTGGTCTCGCTCTCTGGTCTCGCTCTCTGGTCTCGCTCTCTGGTCTCGCTCTCTGGTCTCGCTCTCTGGTCTCGCTCTCTGGTCAGACACGGGGAGAACATGCAAACTCCACTCATAAAGACCGGGATTCAAACCCAAGGCCTTCTTGCTGAGAAGCGAGAGTGCTATCCACTCAG